GAGGGGGGCATGTGGTAATGAGCAGAAAGGAGGGGGAAAGACATGTGCGGGGCAAAGGGGCACAGAGAGAGCCAGCGATGGGGAGAGAGAGGACGAGGAGGAGGGAGGCCGCCACCTACCCCCAGTACATGATCATGTACGTGTTCTTCATCTTGAAGTGCAGGAAGGTCATCCCCACCAAGAAGAGCGAGAATCGGTCCAAGGCTGCCTTGATCTGGCCCAAGTCGTAGTCGCGGAAGGTCATCTCCTTCTCCTGCGGCCTCGCCAGGCCCGCCAGCCCCGGCAATCCCCCCGGGCTCTCCCCTTTCTTCATCTTCTTCGCCATATCCAGGAGGGAGGAAAGAACGGCGGGCACCGCGGCTACCTTGAGCGTGCGCGCGTCTTGCTGTGCGATGGCCTGCTGCCGCGAGTACAGGAGCGCGCCCAGATACAGGCAGACATAGAGGGTGAAGAGCAAGCGGGCTTTCCGCGTGGCCGTCGAGTCCTTGCTCCATTGAAAGGCAATGCGGTAGGCGAGCATGCCTGCGACAGTCTCAAAGATCTTCTCCTCCGCCACGAAACGGAAGGCAGAGGACCCGACTAAGGCCTTTCCCGCGCGTCTCGCCAGAGTGAAGAGGAGACCACCGCCTCCCTGCGACGTCAACGCCTCCCCTCGCTTGAAGCGCGTGCTGGCCAGGAAAGGGATCACGTCCGGGTCATCCTCTAAACTCGCGGTGGAGGACCTAGAGGAAGAAAGCGTGGCAAAGTCCTGTTTGCCTCTCGGCGCTCGCTTCCTCCGCGCCGACGGGGACCCTGCCATGCGGCTCATTTTGGACTTGCGGGTGGGGGTGGGCTTCGCTTCATCGTCTTGGGGTTCGTTCTTCTATTTCATGAATGATAATTGTGTGCACGTCTCGGCATAAGCACGCCAGAATCCTTACAACCCATTTTGATTTGATTTCCTAAATTCAACCTCTTGACCACATTCGTGTCATCTATTGCTCCACTACGCACGTGTACGACCAAAAAAAGATACAATGCTCCCTTCCTGTGAGCAATTCTAATTTAAACATCAATATGTGAAGTAATCATATGCGCCCAAGCATCATAAAAGAAAGCTGGGACCATTCCTTTTACCTTACTGCTGAGCAACGCACGTTTCCTCCCAGAGGTGGTTGGGCTCGAGGGTGTCGCGCCACTCCCTCCCACCTCTGTCGCCGACCTTGCATGTGTCGCGGTCAATGTCATAGCTGCGAGTATCAGAAGAAGAAGCATGATTTTGGAAATTTTGTGGGGATGGGTGGGACGCGAGGTCTTTGTCGTGCTTCTGCCCTCCTGCGTCTTGCTGCATCCTGCGGCTAAGGCGCTTTCGCCTCTAAATGTACCCATATCCGGCTATAGGGCTAACCTGTGGCATAACATGAGGTAATCATTTGATGAGCGAGACGGTGCATGCAAAAGTGGTCCATTACACCGCTCTAATTGGACATATTGGCGTGTGTTGTAGGGCACCCCCTCCCTCACTTGGAACAAGCCGCAGCAGCAGCAACGCCGGAGGTGTGACGCGGGAAAGCGTGCATATGAATTGAATGTCGGTCGCCGAGTCACCGCTGAACCCTCGCGCATGATTTGCCTTGTGGTCACACGGATGAGAGTGTGTGTTGACCCTATTTGCCTTTCCGTGACACTTTCATGGCAAAAGGGCAGTGTGACAGGTCGCGGAGGAAGCTTTCACCGCCGACTCCAAAGCCCCTGGCGCCTGCATCACGTTCCGCATACCTCATTATTCTCGTCTCCCGTTCTACTATGTCTGCGACCATATCCGATGCTCGTACACATTACACGAATTAATAGCATTGTATTGGTTGCTCGGAATGCCATTTGAGTCCTTTTATGTCTGCGTTCAATTGCCTGGCATCCTGATTGTTTGTCACTCCTTAGGAGAGTGAGGTTCTGATGCTGCCATCATTTCTCTTCAGCATTCGCTCACACTCAAACGACAACCGCAACAGTACATCCGGTGGTAAACTTGAAGCGTACTCTATCATGGCAGCAGCAGTGGCGGAAATGCAGCAGCATGCGACGATCGAGCAAACGTCTGGAGTAGGAGAGCACGAGGTACGTGGATTGTTTCTTGGGGTGAAGATAGAATGTGTTCAAATTCATCATCCGCGGTTATGAATCGCAAAATCATGCTAGGAAAAAGGGCGGCATCGTTTTTGGACTGCATTTCGATGTAGGAATATTTGAACATTTACCATGCATACACGTTTCCTTCTATCTTTCAGGTGGTGGTGAATTTTCGTCACATTACCGAGCTTGAGCATCACGGTGTGAATCGCACAGACCTTACAAAACTTATGGAAGCAGGGTATTGTACAGTCGAATCGATCACTCATGCAACACTTCGCAAGCTCACGGACATCAAAGGCATTTCTGACCAGAAAGCTCAAAAAATTAAGGAAATAGCTTACAAGCTGGTTCCCATGGGTTTCTTGACGGCCGCACAACAGCTGGAGACTCGCAAAGATCTGATACAATTGTCAACAGGATCGAAGGATCTTGACGCTCTCCTAGGCGGAGGAGTGGAGACAGGGTCATTGACAGAAATTTTTGGCGAGTTTCGCACAGGAAAGACGCAGCTTTGCCATACCCTTTGTGTGACGAGTCAGCTTCCCATGGACCAAGGCGGGGGAGAAGGAAAAGCAATGTACATCGACACCGAGGGGACTTTTCGCCCACAGCGCTTGGTGGCCATTGCGGAGCGATTTGGATTAGATGTCGATACCGTCTTGGACAACGTGGCTTTCGCTCGCGCCCACAATTCAGAGCAGCAAATGGATCTTTTGAAAATGGCGTCGGCGATGATGTCAGAAGATCGCTACGCTCTGGTTGTGGTGGACTCGGCTACGGCTCTGTTTCGCACGGACTACTGCGGGCGAGGGGAGCTATCAGAGCGGCAAATGCAGCTGGCGCAATTTTTGCGACAGTTGACAAGAATGTCCGAGGAGTTTGGCGTTGCAGTCGTGCTGACAAACCAGGTGGTGGCAAATCCTGATGGCATGAGCTTTGCAAAAGACCAAACAAAGCCAATCGGAGGTAACATTATCGCTCACGCGTCACATACACGCCTGCGCTTAAGAAAAGGCAGGGGAGAAAATCGAATTTGTCAGATTTACGATTCGCCAACCTTACCGGAAGCTGAGACTCAATTCTCTATCGGGGCATCGGGTATCGAGGATGCAAAGGACTAGGAGACAGGGACAGAGAGGAAATGATAGCTTGAGCTTGAAACGAAAGAATCAAGGACGGTTCTTGAGCAGGCACGGTGAGGTTTGTACAGGAGCCAATCGACCATGAAGTGAAGTATGTTTCTGGAGGGTCTGGAATAAATTAATAGAGAATCATCTTTGAAGGCCCGAGGCCTCTCTTTGCTCGGTGCCTGCTAACAAGCATCAATTCGTTGGAGGACGACTTTTTCTTTCACAACAAACCGAACTTCGTGTATAGGGTATATGCTCATGTCGTTGCACCTGATTAAACCTCCTTTGCCGTCGTGCAATCCATCTCCTCCCCGCCGACAAGGGTCTTTCCGAACGACGAACACGGGACTTGGCGATGAGGGCGGCGACCCTGGAGGGGAAGGCTTTCGCACAAGCGTATGCTGCCTACCTGGTAATTATGCTCATTAAAAACACTCAAATCGTGCAACTTCTTGGTGTCATCAATTTTCGCCTTCAAGCAAGTCAGGCTTCAGGTCATTGAAACTGTGCCGTTCGTCACTTGCGGCTCAACACAGGCTTTACCCGCGCTTTCAGATGCCGGCCTTCCTCCCAGAATGTCCCATCACGAACGCCGATGCCCTCTGCCAAGTTTTGCGAGGTATGATGTCTGAAGCCTTGCAAGAAGGGGGCCAAAGGTTGGTTGATGCCGCCACGCAGGACTTTCGTGCGTTGATCGGCGACTATTTAGGAACGGAGGCAGTATATGTCTCGCCTTCCCAAAGCTCTGTCGGCGCAGACCTCATTACAGGATTTGATAAAAACAAATATATCGCTACGAGGCGCCATTTAAACCTACACAGATTGCGCAAAGCACTTCAAGACAAGATACTCGTGGATATTGGCGCGTTGCAAGAGGACTACGCCTGTGGTGGGACAGCTCGAGGTCTATGGAAGTTTCAAGTGGAGACAACCGAAAAAGGCCTTGCCGTAAATCGACGCAAGCGATCCCTTCCGATGGATTTGCTACGAATTCGTGAACTCCAATTGCAGGCGATGTTGCGTTTCGTGATGGGTACAATGGGTCTTCTGGGCACCAGGCGACCCTCAGCTTCCTCCTGCATTCGCCCTCCCTTGCCTACTTCCCTGCTCAAGGACGTGCATCACTTCCTGGCATACCTACAGCTGCGTCAAACCTTTGCCCTAGGCGCTGAAGGAATGAGGGGGTTCCGGCAAGCCGGAGGCGATCCTCTCCTGCATCCAAACAAGGGCACACCCCATAACGCCCCTGTCGGGCGCGGCGTGTCAACGGAAACCCCCGATCAAGACAGGCGGGCCGAGAGGCCTTGCCCCCACGCTTCTGGCTACTGCATGGGCGATATGGGGGGCGGGGCGCAAGAGGGGCTGGAGCAAGACGTGGATGGAGAGGAGGCGTGCCCCCACGGCATGCAGGCAACGCGCGTGCTTGACTCCAATTTTCACGAGTTCCTGGCCGCAGCTTTCCTTAAACCCTTTCGCGCCAGCCACCCTCAGGACATACTGGCCCTCTACACCTCGTTGGAGTGCGAGGAACTGCTGTCGGCGGATTTTTTGGCCGAAGCAGCAGCAGGGGCAGCGGCTGCCACCACCAGGAGCGTGGCCAAAGGGGTCTCACCCAAGCCCAAGGGTCCTGTGTTTCGGTGCCTCCGTCGCGACAAAGCGGCAGCTTCTGGCTTTGTCTCCGCCTACAACAAGAGGCGGGAGGTTCCAGTCGATAGGACGAAAGCAGCCGCCACGATGCCCGTGGGACCTGCGAAGAGCATGATTTCCGGCGAGGCGCCTTCACGGCCGCCCACGCCTCCCCCCTCCTCTCCCTCCGGCAGCAGTGTCCTGCAACAGGCCATGCGGGAGAGTCTACGGCCTCGCCCCAGCCACTACTTGTCGCGGATCAACAGCTTCCACAAGCCCAACCAACTGTCACGGCGGCCCCTCCTCTCTCGGCAGCAGCAGCA